AGAGGAGGAGGTGGGGGAGCAGGGGCCGAAGAGGCCATCACCGGGATTGGGGAGGGAGCAGCCACGCAGGGCTCGACTTGGTCCTCGGCTATTCCCTTTGACGGCGGCGGAGGAGCAGGAGCTGAAGAGGGCATTGGCAGGATAGGGGAGAGAGAGCAGAGAAGGCATCCTCGCAAGGCTCGGCTTGGTCGCCCGCGATGTCTTTGGATGGCGGCCTCTTCGAGAAACACGACGGCGACGACGACGCCATGGAATGAAGGAAGGATTGGAAGCGGGGAGGTGGTGCGGTGGAGATGGCGGCGGCGGCGCCCTAGCCTACGGCATGGCGATTGACTGGGGAAGGACGCGAACGAGAATTGTGGACTGCCGTTGGCTTGATCGACTTTTCTAGGCTATCGACTTGTGTCGATTAATTTTCCTGGGTGTACACGAACACCACTTAACGTTTTTTGGTGGATGACATATGTGGGACTAGTGGGACCCAACACCACTTACATCCTGAACCGGTTGGTTATGTATATTAAAATATCAGATTCTTTTATTTCTTACTAGTATGTATTTTAATTTTACTATTCATAAGGATACACGTGGAACCAGGTTCATCAAATACGCGTCCCCTAACTTACTCGTCATTTTTTTTCTTTTGATGAAAACCACCACTAATCCAGTCCGGAGAGATCCAAAATTGTCACGAACCAAACGCGGTAAAAACGCCGTAAAACCCTGCAGCCGCGAAAGAGCGGGAGGAGAATCGAGAATTCCCAAATCGCCGAAACTCTGAAACACCCGAAATGCCGGAGCAACCCCACGATGCCGATTCCTCCTCCTCCGCCAGCCAGACGAACTGGCGGAAGGAGGTGGATGGGCTGCTTCGGCGGATGCACTCCCTCCTCTTCGGCGCCGACGCCGCGCTCGAGCGCGGGGATGCGGCGGCGGCGCAGGTTCTCGTGCTACGCCTCCTCGGCTTCCTCGATTCCCAGACCCTCTCCGCCTACACGGGCCCTGAAGCCGCCTTCGTCGCGCCCATCCGCGCCGCAGCCTCTTCCTGTCTCGCCGCTGCCTCCCGCGTTGGCGCCTCCGACTCGGACCGGTACAAACCCTACCTGGCGTCTGATTCATTCAGTTTGACGTTTCATGCTTAGTTCATGATAGACGCAAGGATTTTGGCAGCTCCATCACTATTTTATTATACAAAAGCTGAATTGCTATTGCTGAGGTCCAATAAATG